TTTTTGAGTTGTCCGCAAATTATCAATATACATATAGCGATAGTTTCATACAGAGAAAATGAGCCACGCCATCATTCAGTCACCTCGATAATAGCGCCCTTTATACTTTCGTACAGAGTACGGTTGATAGAAAGCGACGTGAAAGCAAGAAAAAAGAAAAAAGGAAAAAAGAGAAAAAAATTTCGAACAATGATTCCTTCCTCAAGTAGATTCGCGGAACATGGATTGATAAAAGAAAGTGTGTATAACTCGGAGGAAGGTTCTATGGGGACGCCAATTTTTGCAGTTCGTCCGTTTTTTCTCTCTGTGCACTGTTTTTCCGTTCTTGTCCTTTCGTCAACGATTGTACATATATATTAATTAATTGCGATCATTATGTAAATAACTCTTCGACAAAAAGAAAACACACACACACACACACACACACACACACATACACACACAAACAAAATGAAGACGAAGAAAATGAAAGAAAGAAAGAGCAAACAAAAGAGATGAAAAAGAAACACACAGAAAAAGAACAAGCAAAAACACGCGCGCAAACCTGTCCGCGCGAGGTTTATTTTAAAGACTACATCATTATTATAATGATTACCATGTAATGATATTTAATTGATAAGGGTAACATATATTCTATACTCTTACACGCTAAGTACTCAATAAATATATCTATAAAATTTCCCCGTGTTTGTGATTGTCTACCCTTTGACCCATCCCGATGTATTCCCATCGTATTCGTGGCGTCTGAACCCAATCAAAAGAAAAAGAAAAAAACAAAACTCTTTCTCTCTCACCAAACCTCTGTCGTGTCTATTTTGTTCGAGTAAATAAGATCGGTTCTTTTTATTTTTAATAATTGTAAATGTTCTTCATCACACACCTCTTGTCTCTCTCACCTTGTCGTACAGTTTCTTCCTCATGACAATAGCAAGAGGTTTTTAGATTTAAGTGTATAAATAAATATTTCTATACATATACATATATATATATATATACATATATATATATATATATATATACATATACGTTATACATTGTAGGCAAAGATTGCAGAGGAAGAACACGATAAGTCACGTTCTCCATTCTTTCGCACAAAAGGCAAGAATTTCAATCAAAAATCGTAACACTCTCCGTAATATATATATATATAAATATTGCTTATCTAACTACCTAGCTTAACACTAGAACTACCAGAGTAGTCAAGATGACCAAGTCATGTTAATTTTATACATAGTAACTCTACATAATGATTTTATAAATTTACAAATGGTGTATTTTTAGAAAGTAATATTTCACAAAATATGTGTAAATAAAAGCCTTGTGTTCTTCATTCATACTAGAAACGTTTTTTCTATTCCTCGAGATTTCATTATTTCTCAGATAAATGTTTCACTATGCTTTCGTCATCGGTGATTCTAGTGTTAATAGTTGATAGTTTTTTTTTTACAAAATTTTGTCAATCAATTGGTCCCAGCAAATTGATTTCATTCTCAACTATGTACATGAGCTTTCACAGTATTTATCAGGTTTTTCTCCTGCAATCTTCAAAAGTATCCGGTGCTCTCGCTACAAGTCCGAAATAATAGTACCTACGAATGCGTGATGTGATAAAAAACGTTGTTTTTTGCTATAAACGAGTAACGATGAGAGATTAATTAAAAACTTTTAGTAACATCACTGACAGAGTTCTCACTGTTTATTTCTCTCTCTTTCAAGCCCGCAAAACTTCGACTCTAAAAGCGTGTCCTCCGTTTTTTTACACCTTGTCCGATCTTTGCATCAATGAAGCCGGATTATAACAATTCTTTTTTCATTCCGTTGGTTTTCTTGGTGAAGAAGAATAATTACAACACGTAATTATTAACGATGCATCGATGAAGGATTTACAGTGTTTTTTAATGTATATCGACCCCTAGTCTCGTTGTATTCGCATTTCCGTTGTCACTATCGTCCGGCAGTCTGGAAAAATTCGAAAATAAAAAACCAGGGAAAAAATTAATGAAAAAACCTTCTTTTAGCCAAAGTAAAATGTTCTCTGTTCGATTAATCGTATGGAAGTAATAATAATAACAATAATAATAATCATTTATAACCCGAGGAGAGATTACAGATGGAGAATGGTAAAAGAAAAGAAATCTAACGTTAAAAAAAAGTAAATTCTAATTGTTAACAGTTCCTATCGAGATCGACTGTTTTATAATCTTTATTGATGATAAATAAATTTTACATGAATTTCGTATATGCTTTTTGTACATCATTTATTGTGGAACAACGTTTCTTTATGTTTCAAATCTTTTACAATTTGTATTTATTTTTCCACCGAGATGTATTTACAATTTTCGTTTCTATTTCATTTTTTCTTCTTTTTTTTTTTATGTAAAAAGAAACGATGAAAAACAAGAAAGAAATATGTGTATATGAAAATTGAATCATTTTGTACAATATATGTTCTTATTTTACAATAGTACAATATTTTGTACAGTTTTAATTTGCATAAGTCTCGTGTATCATTCTAATAAGGATGATACGCACCAACTCTTCCCGTTAAAATCAAAGTTCTTTTCTTTTTTTCTCTTTCTAGCTGAGTAACCTGCTTTAATTAATTATTGGTAATCATAAAAAAATCTCTGTTCCAAAAGTCTATAAAAATTCATGAATTATCAAGTGCGTAATACAAGGTGTAATCACGAGTCTGTTAAAATAAAAAAATTAATTTATTTGCTCTATTCCAGTATTTTTTCTTCTCAAATTGTGTTATCAGTAGAAATAAAAATTTACGGAATAAAAATGCAATATATATGCATAGTAATACTTATAGAAATATCACAAAAAATTTAATTTTAATCGCGATTTCCTTTCTAAAAAACTCGTATTCAATATTTCTTAATAACCTATCTATCTGAATCCTGAATTTATTAAATGAAATTTCTTTTCTCTGACACAACGAAGTTTACTCAATTATAATTATCAAAGCCATTTTTTCTTGCGAAATATCTAAATATTTTCTAATACCATTGTTGTAAGTTTAAAATTTTAAAAATTGACAAAGGATCTCATTAACGTAATTAGTGCATACCTTTGGAAAGAATTATAATTAGCAACAAGTACCACATGCAACACAACTTTTTCTTATATAAAATGAAAACTTAGACTGACTAGCTTGACTGAGGAAGTGGAATGATAAAAGAAATGACACGATAAGTTCCTATCATTCCCACATCAATTCAGAATACTTCTACACATATTATACAATCAAATATTTCAATGCAGATTATCCGAATTGAACTTCTTCCAAAGCAAAGTATCCACACACTATTTTTTAATTTTCCATATTATATATTTTAATCCTAAAATACAAAATCAGAATAGGATTTTTTATATTGTCAATACTTTTTATTTAATTTAATATTTTTCTATATTTTAATTATAGAAAATATAGAACTATTTGTTACGTTTGCGCTATAATAAATCTCAGTTAATTCGGATAATCGTGATTCATATGCATATATTGAAAATGCATATTTAAATTAAAATACATTGTTTAGTGAACGTCACGTAGTTGGAAAGATGGATTGTTCTTACACAGAGAATTAATTAAACGAGAATATGAAAACTTTCATATACATAGTGGAAAAAGAACGTTCTATGGAAGAATTGTTTTTAAGTGTTACATAAACGGTGTGTAAACATCACACAGGAATAATCACATTTTATATCGTCTATAGTGACTAAATGTTCTAACCATATAAAATAAGTTATTTAAACGCTGCAACCTGAATGTAATATTGGTATCGAAATTGGATTTAAACCTTAATCACAAAATGGACTGGAATTATGTATACTCCTAATAGAATTCGTTGTTACAAATAACAAATAGCGGCTATTTGTAGAAAAATACAAACAGATACTTGTTTACATGAATAAATTATTAGTTTTACAGAAACGTAACGGTGTTCTAAATGTAATTCAATTATCCTATTGCAATTGTTACTTACTCGAGGCCTAGGCCCCAATTGATACCTTGAACGAGAAGCAAAATTAACGGTTGCCAAGCAACTAACCATCTGATCCAGTCTAATAACTGACCGTACAAAACATGAGGTCGTTCCCATCTTTACACGTTATTAAGGTATATATAAGATATATATTGAAGAAACCAGGTAATTGCGAATTAATTATTATGTTAAAAGGATACGGATTGTAGAACATTTTCTTGAGATCAACCTTTTCTTTACAATAGGGACACGTTTGTTTCTTTCCTATGATGCACCATCCTCTGATGCAAAATTCATGAAACACGTGTTCACAACTAAGTTTGTATGTGTTTTCAATAACACCAGGTTCATTTTCTGACACTAAAAGTCTATTTCCACATACTGCACACACACCAGGTTCTAAAGTTCTTGTTGGCATATGGCCTGGCACATAATACTGTAAATTATTTAATATATTGCACTATATAATTGACATACATCGGCATACATCTATACTTGATTACTCTATACATACTCCGATGTGTGAAGCCATTTTATCTGCACATATTTCTGCAACATCTCTTCCCAATACACCAAAATAAAGCCCATAAAATAACAAAAGTAAACCACAATCCATCCATACTTGTGGCTTAGTTTCAAACACCAAATGTAAACCAAAAAATGTGGCTAACATTATGATGTAACTTATTATACCTAACATATAACTTAATTTATAAATAAAGAGAAACCATTTGTACACCAATCTATAAAAAAAGAAAGATTGAATGAATTATTAATTTTATAATAATATACAAACTATAATTGACAAAAATATGCATACCTTGGTGTTGTACCTGCTATAGGTTTTTGAACAGCCTTTCTTACTATTAATCCTGTTATGCAAGATGTTACTAACCACAGAAATATAAACCTCCACCAATGATTTCTTAAACTTAATCCAAATGGAATAATCCACATAGCAATTAAAGTAACGAGCTAAAAAAATATATTCCATATGTATAAATGTATCAAATTGAAATTTATATATTAATACTAAAGGAAATTAATTTTTATTTACCTGATATGACTTATAATGTATTTTCTTCCATTCAACTAATATAATCTGTGCTACTAACAAAGTTCCTAACAAAATAAGCAACATTTCTGCATGCATTGACTCATGTCCCAGATGTTGTTCGTGCATTTTTATATGTTGTACCCTGAAAAATTAAATGAAATTTATACATTAAAAATATATCTTAAATATATAATATTTCATTATTTCAATATTAATGTCGATATTACCTCCATTTTTCTTCTACCGTCATCTCATCTTCACTCTACAAAAAATACACATATTTATTTAAAAAATACTACAAATATAAAAAATATATTTAATGCAATTAGTTGTTTCTCAATCAAAATTGTAATATAAGTTGTATGATAAAATAGAATATAGAAATTTATTGCAAAAATAATATGACAATCATTATGATACATGAATATTCATGTTCATTTTCTAGATAAATATTGTCCTTGGTACAGGTTATATTTGAATAAGCATGGCTTACGTGTACATTTCTGTTTTATATAATATAATCAATATAGTTTTGTTTAAAATAATATTATACCTTATTTGGGAGTACGTGTGAATGCATAGTCATTCGTATTAAGAACTATCACTTATAAAATATATTTTACTAAATTGACATAATACATCAAAAACTCTTTGGAGACATTGTAAAGTTCTATTCACAGTGGTGCAAATCCGATATGATCAGTAACAACTTTATTTGATTTCAAGTAAGCGATAATTTGTTTCCTACAATATATTATCAAATGAAGTATTTAAAACGCAAATAATTCATTTAATTAATTAATCGTAGAAAATATTATTAAAAGTATATTTTCAATATTTCGCGCCAAAATCCTTTTCTCCGCCATATTGATGACGTTCAATTATTGAACCTGCTATTGATAACGTGTTAATTTAAATTGTTACAAAATATAATTGATAAACGCTGTGAAATAGCAAAGGATGACTGAAGAATATTTGTTCAAGGTAAATGAAACATTTCAAATAATTAATTTGTTAAAATTCTTATAAGAATGACAAATATCAATAATACTTATGTTGCTCCAAACGTATCATTCGTTACATGCAGAAATTTTATATAAATTTGTAAATACCATTCGTCATTTAATATTTTTGTAAAATAGAATTGTTAATTGAAAACAGTTGTAATATCGATGATAAATCTGATGACGATTAGGTATTCCAAATAATAGTCATGAAGAATTACAATTCCTATTCTAGGTTATCTCTTTTTCATAGTTTTGCATCTGTTTTACGATCAATTATACAATAACTAGTATCTTATGTATTTTTATTAGTATATAGAATATATAATATATATGATTTCTTTATAAAATATAAAATATAAGAGTACAATGTGCAAATATAAGAAATTTGTATTTTATAAGAAAATGAGTTCTATGTCAATATTTTCGTACAAAATGCAAATTCACATAACCTATAGCTCTCTGACATCACAAAATAACATCAATTATTGAATTTCACTTTACAGAAATTGATCGCGCGCTGTAACAGATATTAAATTCAAATTACACGCGCGAATCCTATTCGTCGAAAATTTTGCGCTCAGATGTGAATTGAACCGCCGGTTTACCAATCAGAGAGGCTCGTGCATGTCCGTGAGCATTCGAACGACGACGGCGTTAAACCACGCCCATCGCTGCTGACCAGAGAGGGAAGAGCTGGTAATTCACTCTGCGAAGCAGCAATATGAGCGTTTATACTGTTTCTTGAGAAAACGCGCGACGTGACGAAATCTCATAGTCGTAAAATCGCGCGTCGGAAAGTGTCATCGGGTCGCGCGCCGTTCGCGGATTTCAGTGAGTGATACAGTGTCGTGATTGGTTTCGTTTCGTTCACGGTGTGACGATTTTTGGTTAGTTTCCCAAGGCCCCCGGAAAGGATATCGCCGCTCGTCGGTTCATTTGCCTCGAGGAATTGCCTTCGGTGAGTAAGAATATCACACGTTTACTTGGGTACGTCCGCGTGTTTTCACTAAGGTTTTCTCCTGCCTGTCAAATCGTGCACATATTGCCGCACAGATTGTGCGTGCATTGTCAATGAACTCACATGTCGCCTCTCATACGCGATTAAGGTTACGTACGTTCGTGCGTGTATGTGTTTGTGCGACTCTGTGGAATTTCACAAAAAGTTTGACTATCGATGGAAACTTAGAGAGAGATCTGCCAACAAGTAAACACGTACGTTTTGCACTTGCACTCGTGTCCTATCGTATTAAGAGTGTGTTCTATTTTTTTTTTTTTTTTTGTCAATGTTTCTTTTCTTGTCTATGTGTTTAAAGAATCTTTTAATTTTGGTGTTAATGAAAGGACGACGAATCTTTTGCTAATATTAAACGTACGTTATTATAAAATCTGTATTATACACTACTGTTGGTATTGAACGTTAATTCTATTCGAATCGAAATCATACTATACGTTTCTGCTTGGTTATCCATCCCTTCCAGGAAAATCCGGACAAATTGAATTCCTCCTTTCGTATACTAACTTGATTGTGCGGTTTCTCTAGGTTCTCTGTAGTAGAATTTTTGCTTTAACAGGTAGCTTCTTCTACATACGTTGTCAGTACGTAATACTACTGGCAAACAAATGAAGATGAATTAGGTCGTTAGCTTTACCTTCGGTTTCCACCTGACTGCCAGATCAAATAGCGAATCGTAAATCACATTTATCTGTCGCGTATCTAGAATTTTTCACTAGAAAGCGTATACCTGCCTGTCTGCCTTGTCATACGTCACTATGTACGTATGTTGACTTTAATCGGTATCCTAACCTGATCCGTACCGATTTAATTAGGCTAGATTGCGAATGTAACAATAAGAATAAAAATTACACAGAAAAACATACAATGATAATTCTGACAATTGTTAAACAGAATACGTAGTAAGTAATATCAAATTACAAATATAAAATACAATATATTCGGTGATTATGTAGGTTAATGATTTTCTCTCCAACTTTAACTATCTTCAACCATTTTTGAAAACATAGCAGTGTTAAGCAATATTTTCGTTGTAAATCTTCTTAATATTGCAGTTGACAATTAGCATCAGGACAAAATAGAGTGGGTGCCATTGGCGCGCCAAATTCAAATTTTCAGCACAGCCACGTTTTATTAATTCTTGCGCTGTCGATATGGCACAAGATGAATGATTCTGATAATCGTCAAGGAAAAAATATATACATATTTGGATTCTCTGTCTGAATTAGAATGAAATCGGATTGCGATTCATTTCCAAGAATTAGCGTTGAATGTAAGTTACGCGGCATCTATTTTGCGCTGGATCAGTCAAAGAACTCGAAAGGAGCAAAATCCTCGTAGCCGGGCTGTTTGGATGTTGTATAAATTGGCGGCTGTCCAAGTTCCCGTACTCTCACCACGTTCCCAGTCTCGGGGTTCACGCTATCACATTCCATGTCAGTATATGTACGCGCTGTCTTTCCGCATGATTTTGTGCAAACTACTTTTACCGAGGGATACATAATGTAGCAGTGTCTGTGTGCTACTTGTAAACAGATACAGATGACCTCAGGTTAGGTTCAGTGTTACTTTCGTTGAAGTTTTTTCCATTTGGAAATAGAATTGCAAATTTTATTTGCGGCAATCTTGATAGTGTTACAATATATGTGATTTAATTTGGAACATTCCAGGTGGAATATAATTGTTACTAAAATTGACATTTATTAAAATAACAGTTAAGCTTTCGCGGTGTTGTGTCTTCTCTTATTAATTCTCGTTCAATTATAATAAATATTATACATACATACAATAAGAATAAACGACACAATTAATTATTCTGTAAATGTCTCGATAATAATCTGGAAACATTTCTATTGCAATACACGTCCCTATCAGAACATACAAAAAGGCAATAAAGCGTGACTTTGCAGTTCGAATGATTACCTCTCGAATAGCCGAGGTTTATTTCGATCTATAAACAACCAGGCTGCTCGTAGATCATTATACGAGTGAATATTCGTTTATCTTATTTTTCGTTGTATCGATAATGTGACCACGACGTTATGTCATTCCCTTCATTGATCGAATTAGTCGGCGTAGTAATGGCCGTTTTTCATAATAGCATGATACCTTACAAACTGCACTATTTTTTGAAGGTCACGGTTAGCACAGTTACGCTCCTCGTAAACACGCTTATTTATTGCCATTTTAATGTATCGAAATGAAATTTTGACACGACAGAAATTCAGTGATAACGTATACATATTTTACATGTATATAATTTTATTATTTTTTAATATGTAAATATCGAGTACAATTTAGAGACTCGATAACGATAAATCTCTCTGTTTGAAAGTATTTAAATTTCCCAACGATAGATGCAGAATGAATTGTTTCTCGGGCGTAAATTCGTTCGATGCTGCAAGATCGGAGTATCCGAAGATTCGAAATTCGAAGGCAATATTTATCATGAGCATGAAAGTGAATATCGTGCGAGGGATACGTTGGAAACGGTCGTTGCGGTTTACTCGCGATAGTAATAGTAATCGTGAAAGCACATACGCAACACAGATGTATCGTCGTGAATCACGGTACCATTTATTGTATCAGAAGATACATATTAAACTATTCACGGAACCGCGATCAGTGTTACACCAAACAGCCATGTACCTAGGTATTTAGAAGGTATAAATTATTCGGAATTTAGAATTGTGCGTGAAAATTTAAAAGTATAATGTTTAGGGCCGCGAACGAAAATGGATTTCTGTTTGTCAGAATTGAGAAAATCTAAGCTACGTTTGCCAGAGTCGCGAGAAATATTTAAAATTATAAATAAGACAGGCTTGTAATAATTCTGAGAATTTTTGAACAACTTTTGTATGCTTCTAGATGAATTATTTGCATAATGGATAGAAGAATTACAAAAATTTGTCGTCAATTTGTTTTTGAAATTATATGAATGATTTTTATATTTAAAAAGATCATTTTAGATAAAGTCTATTATCTATGTTAATCGCGCACGTGTAGAAATTTTCGTTCTGACAGAAATAATCATTTCGGTTACATTACCGGTTGATTTAGGTTAATTAGTGCTATCGGATTAGAGTTCGTTTATTAGAGTGATTGTATCTTTTCCCCGTTTTCCATCTCATTTACCTGTTCCTCGCGTAACGTAGAAAGCCCACCTGTTGAAATCGACCTTCTCTCTTTCCACAGCCACCTATGAAAACCCATAAAAAGTGAAAATCCAACGCGCGGAGCTTATTGGATTTTTGCATACTCGTTTAAACAGAAATTCAACCAAAAATGTGCAGCATAAAAATTCCCCGCGAGCTTCTAAATTATTTCACTTCCATAAGCTCCTCTTTACTTTCTTTGGGTACATATTTCGTGGATATTTCGAAATCCAAAGAATCTGTTCTGGATATAAAAAAATTAACAAAATTGTCCTCACAAAGATTCGCAATTTTGGAAATGAGTAAAAGCGAATTTAGGACGAGTGAAAAACGTTACGTCGTTGTACAAAATTGTAGAACTCTTAAAAAATGTCTGACTGTGAAAGGAAAATCAATGAAAAAAACAGAAAAAGTTCTGATAAGACGTTTGAAACAAGCGATACGCTAAGCTGGAAATCTTTAAATGATGAGTCAGACAATAAATTATTTACGAGATATAACTGTTTTATCAGTTTGTATCGCACGAAGGCGGGAAAAATACTTGAACCAAAACGATAAAAGATTATTGAATAAGACGTCCAAAGTGTACTACTTTTTAAAGTGTTTAATAGAACAATTCCAAATATATCCCTGATCTGCTGCTATCAATACCATAGCAACTTAGCTTTCAGTAAACCAAACTCAATTCTCGTTTCGCGTAGCACCAGTTCCTTGTGCATGATCGAATCACGTAACACGCATTAATACCATCCGAAAGGACGTTACGTGAGTAATGTTGAGCACGGCCGCGAACGGAACGTCCGATAGCATGCGAGAATTCCTTTTCAACGTTTTAACATCGGCCCTAATTCCTCCAGAATTCCATCTTTCGCGATCGATCGCGCCGCCATCGTTTCCGCCCTGCGGAAAAGTTAGCAACACCGCGACAATTAACATAATCTTTCTCTTCTTCTCGTTATATACTCTCTTCTCTTTTTCTCATAGAGTGCAGGCAGTTTCTGTTTCGTAAGCGAGGAAAGATCGTTGTCGACGTCGGAAAGTGAAAAGCAGGCCCAGTCTTACGATTAAAATTTAACTTGCCAGCGATTCAATCACAATCATAATCATATCGCGATTATTAAGCATTGGTATTGGGAGAATTGTAGTTTATTCGTGAGAACTGCAGATTCAGATGTTTTTTTTTTTTTCTTTTTTATTTATGAGAACGGTTTTAGGAAAGTGATTAATTTTCTGAAGGTTTTTAGCATTATGATTTCGTCATATGATCGTCATGATATATACCGTGATTGGATCTGCGTGATATTGCCACTTGTTCATGTGTGAGAATAGAGACGCTGGATTTATATTGAAATTTTTCTGGTTTCTCTCTCACTATGGAGAATGATTGCCAGCCCCTGGTCCCTCCTTGTGAAATTTATTTTCACAATAGTAAACTTCTCGTTTCGACGGTTCAACCGTGAGTGTGATTAATAGTTCCAGATACAGGAAACATATGTGCTGTGTAGCTTAATTCCTATCGAGTAAAGTTCAGAACTAGGTCTGTCTTTCTTTAACCTATAATTTTCGTTGCCGATCAATTATTCAGGAACGCGTATTTTTTTTTCACGGCTGTGTTTTTCGTGCGAAGTACGAACGGTTTACGAGCTCTGATTTATTCAAGATGGATCGATTCGTTTACCTCGAAAATTATTCTTACAGCCACTCTGTGTTTCTCTTTTGCCTTGTTGTTTCCATTCGGAATTATCCGACTCTCGGAAACTCTCGACTCAGGCTTCTCCGACTCTCGAAGAT